GAGAGAGAGAGCTGGGCATAAGAAACGAGATGGAGAAATAACAATCTTAACCGCTTGGATTTGAAACATTATGACACGTGCTGATCATGTGTTTTATTTGAAGTTATTTTTGTTTGACTTAATATATTATGTTCATTATATTATATTAATAGTGGACTCATTTAATATCCGGTCTTACTATTAATTCAATACCCACAATATGTTGAATCCCAAAATTAAGTATAAATAATATTTTCCTTTTGTTATACAAAAAAAATATGATTTTTTATTTGAAAGATTTGAGTTTTTTGTGGGACTCTTTGAAACATTCTTAGTTGATGAACTAGAGTATCTAAGATTAAGGTGGAGAACGACTAGGAATGGATGTACATTGTACAACAACGCTCGAGTTAGGGAACAAAATATTAATAAGAGTAATGCTACATGAACTTAAAAAATAGACTTAATAATCTCAACCATTGAATTGATAGATTGGTGTCAATATATGTGAATATATGTGGTAATCTGGTAAATTTTATATACGAAAAGTAAGATTGAGAATTTCTATGATTCGTTAAAGAGAGAGAGGGGGAAAACGAGTTGGAATTAGTAAAGCAAACTCCTCACAACTGATATGAGGCTTCCAATTGAAATAATGACTATACTTAACTCACTAATTCCATTTCTAATATGACAAATGCGTTTTACAGGTAATCAATCTTCAGACACAACTGAGGTACTACAAGAAATTAGTGGCTCGGTTGAGTAAAGGGTTAGGTAATGCTCAAGCCAAGATGACCATATCAGGAGCTGTCTACTTGTTTAGCATTGGAACAAACGATTACGTTAGCCCTTTCGTGACCAATTCAACAATACTAAAATCCTTTTCTAACTCGGAATACATAGGAATGGTTATTGGCAACGTCACATCTGCAATCAAAGTAAGTTGAGCCTCTCTTTTTTCTTTATGCCTCTCCTTATATAAGAACTATGCTAAGAATATGGCAGCTTATATTACGGAGTCTTGCAAACAAGGCCTTGGGGTAGATCACCACGGAGTTGGTGCATTTACCGGTGCAAGTAACAAATTGGTCTTATCATCATGATTTTGGCAGGAGATATATAGGAGTGGAGGCAGAAAATTTGGGTTCCTCAACTTGGGTTCATTGGGTTGTTCTCCAGGACTGAGAATACTGAAACCACAGAACAAAGGTGGCTGCCTAGAGGAAGCTTCGGTGCTTGCAGAACTACATAATAAAGCTTTATCTAAACTGCTCTTGAAAATGGAAATGCAGTTACATGGTTTCAAGTACTCACTCTACGACTTCAACAATAATCTTAGACAAAGGATGAATCACCCCTCAAAATTTGGTACTTACTATTTCTTTTTCTTTCCTTTCAACAAAATACCACCTATAAGAACCCTGATCATGTAAATAAATTCTAAATTTATTAGCAATGTGTTGAATTTTTGATCTTAAAGGTTTCAAAGAAGGAAAAATAGCATGCTGTGGGACAGGAGACTTTAGAGGGATATTCAGCTGTGGAGGCAAAAGGCCAGTGACGGAGTTTCAACTCTGTGATAATCCAAAAGAGCATGTCTTTTGGGACTCTTATCATCTCACTGAAAGAGTTTACAAACAAATGGCAGATCAAATGTGGGCAGAGAACAGCAAAGGACCTTACAATCTCAAGACTCTATTCCAGTGCCACTAAGTGTTGGTTAGTTGCTTCAGGAACATTTAGTCCAAATTTAAAAAAAAAAAAAAAAAATTTGTCAAGTGCCCAATGAAGCTATTGATTAAATCCCTTTTTACCCACTAATAAGAAAATGAATGTCAATTTCAATTTGCTTTTAGAAAAATTGGACACGTGAACTCTGAGTTGTGGAATGTAAAACTTTTTTCACTCGAATATAAAATAATCCTAGATTCTTTTATTGCAGTTAGGAAATTTATTTAGTCTTTCTTGCAAACTGTCATTACGTCTCCAATTTTACAACCCACACCCCATACAGGCACCAGTGAATGATACATATATAAGATTGATTTAGTTGTATTGAGGGAAGAGCTTATGGCCGCTGCACAGATAAGAGTGTCATTGCTGGACCATAGAGTTTTGTGTCAGAAAATTGTAGCCCATAACATAAACTTTCTAGATGATCATCGGAATGAGAAATAATGACTGAACAGTGTGAACAGAATTAAAATACATAAATATCTTCTTTAATGGACAGGAAAGAAAAAGAATTCAAAAGAAGTAATATTTATCAAATATAAAAAAAGAGTTTCAGGTGAACTTGTTGCACAAGCTTCAGTAGTATTCAACAAGAAATATAGTCAAGTTGACAAGTTGTTGTTAAGCCTAAAGAGACTGAAAATGTTTTACTATCAAACAAGAAACAAAGCCGGCAAAAGAGAAAATACAAAATTGCACGTACTTTGAATATTTGCTTGCTTGACCAACCCAAATGATAACATTGAAATAAGATGACAGACACCAAGCAGAAAGCAACGAAAACTGAATCAAGTTCCAGTATCATGGCATTGGCAGGATTAAGCTGCTTTCAATTTTCCATCTTGCTTCTCCTTTCAAGTCTTTTCTCCCCAACAAGTTGCCTTAGCCATCATCAAAACAACAAACATGCCGCCCTCTTCATTTTGGTGATTCCTTTTCGATCCAGGAAACAATAACTACATCAACACTACCATCAATTTCCAGGCAAATTTTTGGCCGTATGGTGAATCTTTTTCAAGTACCCAACTGGAAGGTTTTGCGATGGCCGTCTCATCCCCGACTTTATCGGTAATATTTAAGTTCCTCAACATCTATCATATTCATTTCTCTGATCTAACACCTGAATGAATGAATTATAGACCTTAGCTTACCTACCGCCCTAGTATTGTAACTTGATCGGATATTTCCGGAATACTTCAAGATGAAGACACATGTCCTCGGTGTCACTGATCCTTGTTATCGAGATCACGTACCCATCGGGTCACAAGTCCCCCTCTCCCCCTGAGGTGCTGATCAGGGGGATCGAGTAGCATCCAGTACGTTTTTATGTACCGACACGTTCCCTCGGTCTGATATGGTACATCGGTCGCTAGGCTCTTCCCTCGGCTCTGAGATGTACCTCTTCCTCGGTACCGAGATGTACCCCTCGTCCAGGATGCCGTTCTCTGCTCCACCAGAGGCTATTGATGTACAGGTCACTAGCCTAAGCTAGACTAGGTTAGCTATCATGACCTCGTCTTACACAATTGGTGTCAGAAGGCACAGGAAGGCAGGGGCCACAGCCAATGGGGAATGGACGCGTGGCATATTGTGTCACATCCGAGACAGAAAGACCGTATGCCCTTGCTGACACACGACTTGGGAAAGCAAGCATTTAATTACGTCATTCCCTTGATGAGACTGCATTCAATGCGGTAAGACTCGGAATTGAAAGACAATAAATGTCTCTAAGGCTGGACATTTATTGCGTCCTTCCCGAGAGGAGCTCATTGAACAGTCGGCAGCACGATGACACAGTATTGATTGCTCAGGATCCCGAGCAGTTAAAAGAGAAGACATTCCTCATCAGAATCAGTGCGCACACTGCCTGTACCTAATGATCACCTACTGACTACCTGACAGCAATCATAAGTTTTTGAGGTATAAATACTCCTCGCAAAAGGCAAGACGGTATGCAACAAAAAACCTTTACTATAATACATACTCAGTGTTTTCTTCTTCCTCTCTCAAAAGACTAACTTGATCGTCGGAGGGGATACGCCGGAAAACACTCCGGCTCTCTTCTAACTCGTTCTTCTTTGTTCTAGGAACCTTTCTTCAGCCTTACTGGATCGTTCCTTTGATCCACGAGGGTCTCCCATTACCGTTCCAGGTTATCATAGGATCTCACAGGCTGTTCCAAGCAGCGTGGTTGACCACTCCACTGATTCACTCGAGTTCACAAAGGGAGAGATCTGTTCTCGTTTTTATATTGTGCAAGATCCAGCACGCACAATCTGGCACCGTCTGTGAGAAACGACTAGTTTTCCTAGTTTTTTCTCTATAAAGAACGGTGACCATGGTGAACACTCGACAAAAAGGGAAATGTCCTCACCAAACAAGTCTCGAATTACAAGCTTCCTGTCATCATGGAGGTAGGGATCACATTGATGGGAATAAAAATGCCTCTACTCAGTCAAGAGGGGTTACCCCTCAAACCAGTATGGGAATCAGGTCAGGAGGATCAGCCCCCCTGGCTCGTTAGTTGGCGGAGGTGATCGAAGAAAAGTTTGGCGATAGATTACGACAGCTGGAAAAGGACAATGTAAACGTCCTAAGCCGGCTCAACGAATTTGCCACCTCCGGCGAAGGGTCGGGGGACTCATTCCTCTCTCGTGGGCTCCCCGCCCGGGAGGTGAAAATGAAGGATCTAAGGAATCATCTAAACAACAAGGCAGAAAGCTCCAAGGCCCCAAAGCGACCGAGAGCCAACGAGCACCCTCCTAATGACCATTCAAGGAAGGCAAGGCCGTTAGCCCTGGACGACCTCCGACGAGGATTGTCTAGACGGAGGAAGGGAGATGAGTCCGAGGAGGATTCTATCCTATCCACACGGCGCCCAAGAAATGGGGGGCCTATTGATGAACTCAAAGACTTCAGAAGACATCCCGTCAGGGAGGAAATTGATCTCAGAGCCCGATTGGAATCCAGGAGAAAGAGTAAGACTGTCTAGGATGAGGTCGAAGACGAGGTCATGCAAACACCCTTTTACCAGGGAGATCGGAGAGATGGAGGTTTCAAGAAAGTTTGTCATGTCGAGGTTCAAAACTTATGACGGGCGGTCCGATCCCGAAGCCCATCTCAGGCAATACAAGCAGATGATGTCCCTCTATCATTTGGACCAACGGCTCCTCTGCCGAGTGTTTCCTATGAGCCTGGGGGACTCTGCGATGAAGTGGTTCGAGGCGCTTCCCCCCAACAATATTGGATCGTGGAAGGATAGAAATATATACGCGGAGAGTCTTTTAGACTCGGAGCGGCCCCGAAGATTTGATAGAACCGGAGGTGCTTCCAGAAAAGGCGTTATCCTCTGAGGGAAGGACCCGAAAACTCGATAAAGTCGAAGGGCCACCATCTGAATCAAAATAAATTACACCAGCTACTGCAACTGCAACAATGGAAGGCTTAAGAGGAACTTCCGAGACGTGGCTAAGGCCTTCGAAACTATAACCCGGATCTGGATAAGGGCATGTTTAAAGCACAGTTTCACCCAGAAGCTCATAGGTCAGGTCGAATCCCGTGTGTTATGCAAAATGCTGCTTTAGAAGAGGATATCTGCATGTCTATTACTAAGGACGGGTAGCTACGCCGCTTGGGATCACTTCGAGGATCCCTCCCATCCGGCTTCCCGCAGATGAGATCGTCTTCCTTGGTCGCACCCTAGCCACAGAATGCCCGATTGAGTTCGCCAGGGACATCCTCATTCGAACTTCCTGGGATCAAGACAGAGATCGCCCTCGAAAATGTCAAGAAGTCAACTGATTCTATTCAAGTGGTGGATAGGAAAAAGGCACTGGTAACTATCTCCTCTCCTCAGTTCTAGTGCGCCGTAGAGTCATTCGAATCCATAGCTTCCACTGGAGAAGCATAATTATAGATCAATCGGTATTGATTCCTGGCTCGGTTCATTACGGGGAGTAAGCGGCCCAAAGACGTTGGATCATTGCTAACGCTCAGACGTAGGGAATCCGAGACCCTTCGCCAGTATGCCATCCGATACTGGGAAGAGGTAAATGAGGTAGAAGGCTGCTCGGAAGTCATGGCAGCGACATCTTTCAGGCTCGGCTTAGCAAGGGACACGGACCTGTACCGATCCCTGACCAAGAAGACTCCCTCGGATATGGGCGAGCTGATGGCCCGGATAAACAAATACTCAAGGATCGAGGACGAGATGGGAAGTAGCAAAGGCCGAACCCTCCAATCTAAGAGAAAAGAGAGGGAGCGGGAGGATACACCCCGAAAGGGATTGCTACCCCCTCCAGGGGGTCGTCCAAAGGAGTTCACACTATGTTCAAGGAACCCATCTTCAAGTTGCTTCATAAAATCAAGCATGAGTCGTTCTTCAAGTGGCCGCCCAGGATGCAAAGTGATCCCTCCACCCGTGATCAAAAGGTTAGGAGTTCCTATCACCGGGATTTCGGACATCGCACCGAAAGCTGCAGGACATACAAATCGTTCTTGAAAAGATTGATCCGAGACGGACACTTGAAAGAGTACATAGAGCCCAGGCTAGAAGAGAGACATGCCCTTGCCCCGACCGAGGAGCCGGACAACGTCATAGATGTCATCCATGTATGTCCCCTGGATAGCCCCACGTCCAAGGAACTCGAGTCCGACCTCAAGAGGGTAGCTTTTACAAGGAAGGTAGCCGAGGATGATGGAGGGCCACCCAGTAAAAGGGCCAGGGCTGGTGAGCCCAGCATCACGTTCTCCGACGCGGACTTGACAGGTGTAGTGACTCCTCATAACGACGCCCTTGTCTTGACCCTGAAGATAGGAAAATTCGACGTCAAAAGGGTGTTGATAGACTCTGGAAGTTCCTCGGAAGTGATGTACTCCGAGACTTTAAAACGGATGGGTCTTGGCCTCAAGGACCTCACCAAGGTCAGGACACCCCTCATCAGATTCAACGGCTCGTTCGCCCTGCCCGTAGACAAAATCACATTGCCAGTTGTCATGGGTCCTTTCATCATCAACACCGAGTTTGTCGTAATTGATACGAACTCTCCCTACAACGTGATCATGGGGCGAACATGACTGCATGCGTTGGGAGCGGTGCACTCCACTTACCACCAGAAACTGAAATTTGTCACGCCAGAAAGTATCATGGAGATCGGGGGACCAAGCGTCTGCAAAAAATTATTTTTATTCAGCTGTTAGAGTCGGGGCGTTCACCCAAGAAAAGGGGCAAGCCTCGGAAGAGATCATGGAGAAATAGCAATCATAGTCCGAGTGTCCAGGAATGGACGACCCCTGGATAGACCCAACTGAGCGGTCGGTGGAGGACCTCCGAAAGGTGCCCTTGGTGGAGGGAGAGGAAGAAAGACATTTCTTAGTTGGAACCGCGATGCCCGCAGCCGAACAGGAGGAGATGATTGAGTTTCTAAGGGAAAATGCGGACGTGTTCGCTTGAAACGCAATGGAAATGACGGGGGTAGACCCCGAGATAATCACGCACAAGCTGCATGTTGACCCGGCGCACAAGCCAGTTAAACAAAAGCCAAGACGTATGGCCCCGCATCACGTATGCACGATCAACGAAGAAATCGACAAACTCCTGAAGGCCAACGTCATTCGAGAGATACAGTTCCCAGAATGGTTGTCTAACACGGTTTGCGCAAAGAAGAAGGGGGAAAAATGGCGTGTCTGCGTAGACTTCACAGATCTAAACAAGGCATGTCCCAAGGACAACTACTCCCTACTAAAGGTGGACCAGCTAGTGGATGCCACTACCGAATATGAACGCTTGGACTTCCTGGATGCCCGAGTGGGATATCACCAGATCCCTCTCCATCCCCCAGATCAGGAAAAAATGGCGTTTATCACTCCGAAGGGAGTTTACTATTACAAAGTGATGTCGTTTGGACTAAAGAACGCTGGGGCGACACACCAAAGACTGATGAATTGAATGTTCAAAAAGCAGATCGACAACACCATAGAGGTCTACATTGACGATATGCTGGTGAAGAGCAAACGAAGTTGTGATCATCTGGCAGATTTGGTAGATACTTTCTCCACCCTCAGGGAGTACGGGCTGAAGCTGAACGCGGCAAAGTGCATTTTTGGAGTGGAATCGGGTAAATTTCTCAGATATTTGGTCAGCCAACGAGGAATCAAAGCTAACCCGGATCAGATTCAAGCGATCCTGGACATCCGGAGCCCCCGAACTGTCCGAGAAGTCCAAAAGCTCACGAGGATGCTAGCAGCACTTAACCGTTTCGTCTCACGCTCCTCAGACAAATGCAAACCCTTTTTCAGAGCAATCAAGAGTGCTGGGAAGGATATGTGGAGCCAGGGGTGCGAAGACGCCTTGGCTGGAATCAAGGAATACCTAAGGACTCTCCCGACCTTATCTGTCCCTATCCAGGGGGAAATGCTCTTCTTGTACTTGGCCGTGTTTGAATTTGCGGTAAGCGGGGTGCTCATTCGTGAGCATGAGCACCGCCAGAAGCCGATTTATTACATAAGCAAGGCGCTCCTGGACGCAGAGACAAGATACCTGCCCCTAGAGAAATTGGCTCTATCCCTGGTCACCACTGCAAGAAAACTGAGGCATTATTTCCAGGCTCACCTAATTACCGTCCTTACCGATCAGCCCTTAAAGGCCATTTTGAGGAAAGCGGAGCTCTCTGGAAGGATTTACAAGTGGGCAGTGGAGCTGGGGGAGTACGACATTCATTTCAAACCTCGAACCGCAGTAAAGGGTCAGGTATTGGCGGACTTCATAGCTAAGTTTTCGGGGGAACATCCCGTCCTAGAAAGTCTGTCTCCTCCCGACATAGCGTCTCCAACGAATTGTGGAGGATCGCCATGGCTTTTGTGTGTGGACGGTTCGTCAAATAGTAAGCGGTCCGGGATCGGTATCTTGCTGATTTCTCCGGATGGGATGGTCGCAGAATAGGCCGTTCGGCTGAGATTCAAAGCGTCAAATAATGAAGCTGAATACGAAGCCCTCATCTCAAGACTTCAGTAGCTGAGGCAACTGGAGTTACGGACTTGGTCGTGCATTGCGATTCCATGCTGGTAGTCAACCAAGTTAAAGGAGAGTTTGAGACAAGGGACCCAAGAATAAAGGCTTACCATCACCAGGCGACAGCTGTAATCCGAAGATTCAGAAGGATTGAGATCAAACAAGTGTCCTGAGACAAGAACACGCATGCCGACGCCCTGACTTGTCTAGCCTCGGCAGTGGAGTCCTCTCAATCGCGCAGGATCACCATAGAATATTTTTTCGCATCCTGCATAAACCATGCTCCCGAGGCAATGGCCGTCCAGGATGCACACAAGTCGTCCAGCTGGATTGATCCCTTTCTCAGGTTCCTAACAACAGGAGACCTCCCGGAGTGTCCAAGGGAAGCAAGGAAGATAAAACTCAAAGTCCCGAGATTTTGGGTCTCTCCGGATCAGAAGCTGTATCGCAGGTCTTTCTCAGAACTGTACTTATTATGCGTCCAAAAGGACCAGGTGGAAGACCTTCTCTATGAGGTGCATGAAGGAATATGCGGGGGGCACTCTGGGGGGCGATCGATGGCACACTGCATCATGTCTCAGGGATATTGGTGGCCGCGAATGCAAAGGGATGCGCGCGCATACGTCTAGAAATGCGACAAATGTCAGAAGTTCTCCCCTGCAATCAGGCAACCCGTGGGGGACTTGCACCCCCTGACCAACCCTTGGTCATTCGCCCAGTGGGGACTCGATTTAGTTGGACCCCTGCCTAAGGCTCTTGGAAACAGAAAGTTCCTCATTGTGGCCACAGATTATTTCACCAAATGGGTTGAGGCGGACCCGTTGACTCACATCCGTGATATAGATGCTAAAAATTTCGTCTGGGAGAACATAGTCATCAGATTCGGGATTCCCCGGTCACTGGTGTCGGATAACGGGACTCAATTCACCGACGGGCGTTTCAAGTCTTTCTGCGAGCAACTCGAAATCCGTAATTTCTACTCCACCCCTGCCTACCCCCAAGCCAACGGGCAGACAGAGGCCTCCAACAAAATAATTATCAGTAGAATCAAAAAGAGGTTGGAGAAAGCCAAGGGAAAATGGGCAAATAAGCTATTAAACATCTTGTGGGTGTACAGGACCACCCCTCGGTCCTCGACAGGAGAAACTCCATACTCCCTGGCTTACAGAATGGAAGCAATCATACCTCTCAAGGTAGGACTCCCGACCATAAGGACCCAAGCTTTCGACGTAGGGGAGAATGACCGTCAACTTGGACTGGATTTGGATCTAGTGGAAGAAAGAAGGGAGACAGCCGCCTTAAGAATAACAAAGTATCAGGAAAAGATTTCTCAACTGTACAATAAAAGGGTCAAGGCGTGAGAATTCTGAATCGGCGATCTGGTCCTCAGAAGGGTAACGGCCAATACCCGTGACCCAACAGAAGGGAAAATGAGACCTAACTGGGAAGGGTCTTACAAAGTGATATCTATCGGAGGCGCCGGGTCATACAGATTAAAAGATATGGATGAAAAACTTGTAATGCGACCGTGGAATGAGATGAATCTAAAGAAATATTATTTTTGAGTATTATCTCCCTCAGTGCTTGCCAACGACAAGGATAAAGGGTAAGGCCATAGGGACAAAGTTCAAGGACTCCTGCCCCCGAAGCAAACACGGGAGCAAACCTCCTAGAAGGGCAAAGCCCTGGGGACAGAGTTCAAAGACTCCTGCCCCCGAAACAAACACAGGAGCA